TTATTATTATTATAAGAACTAGCATACATTCAAGCTGAACAAAGGGTTTTAGAATAATTTAGGAAGCCTTAAAATTTGTTAAAAATTTTGACGCTAGGCAACAGCTAAATAAAGCAACTTGGATAGCAGAGCAAATTATGACTAAATAATTCCAGATTTTTCAAGTAGATTTAAACAAATTTTCCAGTGTTACAAATTTCCATTTTCCAATCATCACCATTTCCTTATTTTTTGTCAATCATCCATTTGAATTTAAAAAAGTATTATTATTTGACACGAAATATTGGAACACCTAATATTTGTCTCACCCTTTAGTATACTATATTAGATGTATGACATGTTCTAATTTTTAATAAATTATAATGTAATTTAATTATAGAGGGTGTCTCAATTTTAGTCTACCAAACTGGAACAAATAACTGAGCCACCTAACCATATACTGTAGGTATTCTATTGGCTTACCTGACTGCACTTTTTGGAATTGACCCATACAAAAGAACACTCAAACCTCTATACAGCCCAAAAAAACCATGACTTTTTACAGTTTTTTTCACACAGTCTGCAATTCCATTGTACTGCTTCTGCCCCCCTTTTTCATCGAGCTGCAACTGTGTTTTTACGTATTCTGTTGGGAATGTTATACATATCTCGATCCCACCAGTAATACCACCTAAGAAATGAATTATTATTAAAAATAGTTCAGTTGTAGGTATTTTAAAATTAGTAAATTATTAAAGTAATGTTCCATGACAAAATTGTGCAGGAGATTCTGGAAAATGTTGTTTTTTGAGACAGAATTATAGGTTTGTTATTTTTTTTTTATTATTCGTTTTATATACATTTAAGTGACATTTTGATGTGGTTTTTCTCAAAAGTGAGTGTCGCCACAAGATAGAAAAAGGACTAGGGGGTACGCGGCTCAAAAAAAAAACCTCTAGAGTATTTTAAAGGGTAATTCGTATATTAGTCAATCCTCAAAAAACCATTAAACATATTTAAACATTCATATATTAACATTCAAAAAATTTGAAAAAAAACGTTAGAAATTAGTATTGTCAGCAATGAAGCCAAATCAAGGGAAATATCTCAATGGGAGAAAGGGAAGAAAACGACAAAAAAATGGCAATCGGCTTCATTAGTTTTGTCGTTTGGGAAATCGGACAAGATCCCATTGATAAATGTAGTTTTAAATTCAATCCAAAAAACAATTTTGTGCAAATTTCGTATAAAGTTACATAATATTTACCCATATAAAGTTAAATTATATTTACCCAAATATATCTATAGCTAAAAGTTCAACGTTTCCGAAATACAGGGTGTCAAAACCAAAAAGTTTTTATAACCCAATAATAAATGCATATATGTGTATTCATTTATATTTAGGTATGTTTGTATCAAAAGCTAAAGGGAACTTGAAAATTTACACTAATAATGACACAACTTTTAGATATAGATATACATATATTTGGGTAAATCTCGTTTATTATGGCTGTACAATCACTTCTTGCAAGGAAGCCAGTAGGTATTACCTAAGCCTAAGACACCCTGTATATTAAATTTTTAAGTAAATTAAAAAATGACCTAGTTACCCAATTTTTTTGAAACATCGGAAATAGTCACTAAGAAATATTAAAGAGTCGAAGATCGGAAATAAGAAGCCTGAATTGTTTCACAAAAAAACGATTACCTCTACCTTACTTACTACATATTTTCAGTCCCAAATATATTGTATTTAGTTTAAGTTACATTACAACTTCATTTCATAAGTGGCTTAGACCAAATGACAAATTGAATAGGTGAGAGAACTCACGAAAATAAAACGAAAAATTCACATAAACTTGTATGTTTTAAGGTTGTCCTTGTATTATACATGATACTGATTTTTTTACCCTTGTAAAATAAAATATACAGTAAAATGTATACAATATATCGGGTGGGGCATTTATCTTGAGACAAAATAATCTCTCAGTTGAACTCGATTATTTCGAAAAAAGTTTGAGACAAAAATTGTAGGGCACTAAGCGGGTCATAGTACAACTTCTATTCTAGACCGGAAGAGGTGATTTTAGACCGGAAGTTGAATTTTTTAAATGGAAACACCCATTTTTTCGAATCTTCAAACGACCTTGCTGATGAAGTCAAAGTAATTGTTTGAAGTTATGGGAAAATCCTGACGTAATAGAGCATTTCTAATGGTTTCACCGTCATCAGCCGATCAAAATACAGGGGGGTCGTTATCATACTCTGTTAAAAAGTACAATTATGAAAAAAAAATGTGTGCCTGTGTAATTAATAAATTTTATAATAGTTCATTCTGAATGTTCATCTTTGTTGTTGAGTGTACTACGTATTTTTGAAATAATTTACATATTTATTTCAAGTACTTTTTTAACATCCTGTAGGATTCAGAAAATAACATTTTCTGTCTTTTTTATACACCTGTTTTCTAGGGAATAAAATCAAAAGCTACTGCCTCTGATTAATAAACATATTTAATTCTCATAAATATGTTTATATTTATTAGACTGATTAGTGAACTATAGGGGAAAAAAGGGAAAATTAAAGAACAAAATGGAGAAATTTCTCAAAAACTATTAGCATCAACGATTGCCATTTACTGTGTTATATACGATACAAATAAGAAAAATAGCAAATCAGTTGCATATTTCTTACGTAACAGGTCAATATTTAATTTCAACACATTTCAAACTAAGTAAACAAGTAATGAAATATTAAATTTTGTCTGAAATTCTCTAAAAAAAAAAAAGAAAAAATATATAACAAATTAAAACAAACTCTATTAATTCAAATCTCACCAGCAATAATCCCTTTGAGTCCGGTATTTCCTGCGGCAGGCGCAGCGGCCCCATTTTCCCGCAACCAAGGCCTTTTGAAAGGATACACGTAATTGTAATTCGTCCTTGAGGGGTTCATAGTTTGTCAGCAGACTGCTACAAAAGTAGACATTATATTAACTTATAGGTAGCTGAGATACAGGGTGGCATATTTTTCTAAATAAAATAGTACGCCACTGCTTTACGGTAATAACCATGATATTTTCGGATTCGTCTTTCAATTTTCTCTCATACTACTCTCTTATGTTTTTCGAAAAAAGCCTGATTTTCGAGTAAAACTTAAAAAACCAACTGAAAACAGTTTTACTTAAATGACATGATAAGGTTATTTATTCGAATCGACATCTTTTTAGTAACGAAAATGTAATTTGTTGGAAATTTATTGTTGCTTGAATCTGATGAAAAGCATTATTTATACTTTCTTCTAACTGTTCAGAATGTCAAAGTTGCTATTGCAGCCCACTATGTAATTTTGAAAAGCATTATATTCGAATATCGAATTGTGTTCTCAGTTCGTTTTTTAAGTTTTAAAAAATTAAAAACATTTTTTGAAGTTTAACACCCTGTATCTTCTTAACGAAGCGTCCTGGATAAAAACTTTATAGGAAAGACTTCCCTTAAAATTCACAAAAGAATACGAGGTTTCATTTTTGGTCACCAATTATGAATCACCCTGTATATAAAAATTACTTGGAAACAGAAACCGAAAGTCGGTGTTGATTTTCAAGCTTCGAAGAATGATTTTTTTAGAAAATACTTAAACTAAAATCGGTGTTACCTTTAACAATTTTTTACTAAATAAATGTTCAAGAAATTGACACTATTAACGCCTTTTTACATGTTACAATAAATTAACCAATTTATTGGTAAAATTTAAGGCTACCAACTCCCAGAATACAAATTTATTATTATTACATCAGACTTTATACCAGACCAACGTAATTGTAAATAAACTTGTATGTGTAACCTAGAATTAAGTAGGTAAGTAGTTGTTATAATTCGTTGAATAAATATTCGCGAACAAATTTAGACAACAAAGTATAAGAAGCAATTCTTATGTCTCCAATTCCCTGACCAAAGTATTAAACCTATGAAATTGACCCTAGAAGTTACCACAATTTCTATATTACATATACCAATATAATTTGCTTTCTTCTTGATCTATATATTGGGTTTAAAATGTGTAAATGTAACAGTTGTTTACCAAAAATTACAATTCCATTGACCTTTTAGCGTCCTTAACACATAACGAACTTTAGAATGTTGAAAATATAGCATTTAAAATCATAGATAAAAAATAATAAACACCCTCTTAATATAAATAATAAGCAAATAGCAACATAAATACCTTCACTTTCACTTATAACTAAAATTTGTAAAACACAATTTACTATTCAGTCCAGTATCACAGATATTTATGTCTACAGTGCAGGTTGAAAGGTTGAAAATATGCTACAAAAATGAATGGAGGTCAAGAGGAATGAGCAATGACAAGTGCCGACCGATTATAGTTAACTAGGTTTTATTTAACTTGCTAATGATAAGATAAGTCCAGTAGTACATTAATTTTAGTACGCGTATTCATATTTACAATAATACAACAACCACCACCCCCAAATAGAATTGATCAATCAGGTAGGTACGTATCAAAATTAGTCCGCATTTACGTTAACACTGATTGTATTATCAGAAGTAATTGGAGATAACCATATTTACTACAAACTACAAACAATGATTAAACTTTGAAGTATTTTGATCATTGAAGTTGATAAGTAGTGATAAAGATAAGTATACAGTGTGTTTCAAAAAAACCTGTAGGTATAATACAGGCCATTTGTGTTTTGGCATCAGTGAAAGTGCGCCGCTCCTCCTAGAAATTGTCATAGTAAAAAATAATAACTTATAAATTTAGTTTACAATGTGACAACTAAAAAAATGTTAAATTTGTAGTATGCAGTCTGTTTAACTCCACTTGCAACATTCGTTTGCAAAAACTCCGAATACGTGGGCTCCTCGTAACTCGCCTCACCTCTACATCTGTAAAGTGTTTACAGCGGTGGTCATGGTCAACGTCGTGCAGCAGTAAAAGACGGAGAGGGAGTAGCGCAGTTTGGGCTCTGTTTAGTTTGACCTTAATCAAATAATAGCCATTCACCGCTTTTTATTCTTAATAAATTCTTAATTTGTTCAGGTGTGGTATAAAATTTGATGATATCACTGCACTTGCAAAAATCAATGGCGCGAGAAATACCAAACATTAATGAAAAAGTAATTGAAAACTTTATTTCGGACAAAAGCAGAAGAATGGACTTTTACTATAAAAAATAATGTTGAGTACATTTTCCCTATATTTCAACAGCACTTAAAATAAAACTACCCAATTATATTTGATTTTTTTCAATACTTTGTACCTAAAGTTTTCCGCCTTCCCTGGTAGTGGTATGGAACTCAAAGTCGCCACTACTAAGGCCGGCCGTCCTTTGGATGCGTTTTCGTTCGAAATGGATTCGTCAGAAATCGGATAAGAAAACTATTTTCCAAAAGATAATCATCCATATTATTAACAATTATATGATTTGATAAATCAGTATGTACGACTGACTTCTGTAAAGTAAAAACTTGTCCAGTGGACGATACCACATGAACGAAATCTAACAAAATTCTCAGTGGCGATTTCTAACGAAAATAATTTGGACGAAAACGCATCAAAAGGCGGCCGGCCTAATGCGATCAAAATTTCTGATGGATGGTATGAAAAACCTTTAGAAAACAAACCTAAATTGTTTACTGACATTTGGTATAACGCATCCAGTTATCAATGTGTGGTGTGATAAGTCAGTGAGAAAAACAGATTGCATTGAAAACGAATAAGGAATCGATTTTCTTCTAACTGAAAGACTAAGAAAACTATAATTTAAATCATAATTAGGCAAACGCTCCCTTAGAATGTGAAATTTAATATACAAATAGAGATACAGAGTATATTTTCAGGACTGGCAGAACAAGACCATTTTTAATATGGACTATATAGACCTGTTATTGACTTTTGTTTTAAGACAATTTAAAATAAAATGTTCGTTTTATATTTTTCAAAAAAGCGTATAATATGTTAATGTTGTTAGTTCTTTCTATTCTACGATCTTTTCCAGTGATATTTTAGAGCAATATTTTTTTCGAGGTTAGTTTTTGTGCATTGTGTTGTCGCGTTATTCATTTCAATATAACGGTTTCTGTCCATTTTTCTGCTTTTGTCCGAAATAAACTTTTCAATTACTTTTTCATTCAAATTTGTTATACCTAGCACCATTGATTTTTCAATAGATAGCGTTGCAAGTGCTACAATCAATTTAAACTTCTCCAATGTTTCGAAAATATGCGGTACTCCCACTCCGTCTTTCACTGCTGCGCGACGGTAACCACGACCACCGCTGTAAACACTTTACAGATGTAGAAGCGATCTACGAGGAGGGATTATGTAGATAATAAGCTAAAGGAATTATGTAAATAACATTGTAAACTAAATTTTAAATTAAATTTTTTATTACGAAAATTTCAAAGATGGGCGGCGCCCTAGAACCCCCCGCACCAGCCGCCACTGCACCCTTGTTAGAATCGTTGAAACTGCACCATTTTCGAGAAAAGCGCAACTAATAATGTCAAAGTCCTACCTTCAATTCTTTAAAATTTCTTTTGTATCATTTATGTTGCTAAAGTAGAGGTAAACCTTATTGTCAAGGCTTTTATTCGTTTTTTATTAAATATTATCTACAAAACGACTTAACGAGCAATTCTTCCATGTTTCTGAAAACAAGTGTTTTTCTCTTAAATTAAACCTTATATTAATAGGAAAACTAACAGTATCGACGTATTTAGCATCCTCAAAAACTTAATTTCAACATTCAAAGCAATACAGGGTGTTTGGAAAAGTTGATACAAAATTTAAGGGGGTGAAATTAGAGCCAAAAATAGTAAAAAAAGTTCTTATAAACATTGGTCCTCCGGAGCACCGTTACTGAGATATGGCCCTCCAATTGGGTCTTATTATGATTTGCATGTTTTTTAAAATAACTTTCTTTATGACTAAGATAACGAAATGAAAATTGTAGGTAATAATTATACCATAAGGGTCTTTAACTACCATAAGTTTCATCAAAATCGGTTATAAATAAAGATAGTTTTGTAACTACTATTAACAGAAAATTTTCGAATTTTTTTATTCCTTTCCTTTATTTTTCCTTTTTTTATTTTTTTATTCCTTTATTCCTTAAGTAAATAATATTATATTTTAATGAATTAGACTTTTTTGAAGAAGAAATGTCCTAACTTTTTTTTCAAATTCTGCATAGTTTAGTCAAAAATAATTATTTTTTAAATAATGTATAGCTCAGAACAGTAACTTTTTTTTTAACATTTTCACATAGTAGGCCGTCTTTTATAGTGACAGTTTCATTGTAATGATACTAATGATTGTCACTTTCGCGTGCTATGATTTAAATTCTTATATTTCTTTATTTTCTTAGTTGTGATCTTTGTGCTCAACTTTGCATTTCATTCGATTTTTTTACAACCATGAACCATCATGCTTTTACTAACCGTGAATATACCGATATGCATTTTATTTTATGGTTACTGCAATGGAAATAGTCTGGCGGCTCAAAGAGAGTATCGGCATATTCACGGTTAGTAAAAGCATGATGGTTCATGGCTGTAAAAAAATCGAATGAAATTAGAAGTTGAGCACAAAGATCACAACTAAGAAAATAAAGAAACATAAGAATTTAAATCATAGCACGCGAAAGTGACAATCAATAGTATCATTACAATGAAACTGTCACTAGACGCCTACTATGTGAAAATGTTAAAAAAGTTACTGTTCTGAGCCATACATTATTTAAAAAATAATTATTTCTGACTAAACTATGCAGAATTCGAAAAAAAAAAATTAGAACATTTTTTCTTCAAAAAAGTCTATTTCATTAAAAAATAATATTATTTACTTGATAATTCAAAGGAATAAAAAAAAAATCGAAAATTTTCTGTTAAGAGTAGTTACAAAACTATCCTTATTTATAACCGATATTGATGAAACTTATGGTAGTTAAAGACCCTTATGGTATAATTATTACCTACAATTTTCATTCCGTTATCTTAACCAGAAAGAAAGTTATTTTAAAAAATATCCAAATGATAAGACCCCTTTGGAGGGCCATATCTCAGTAACGGTGCTCCGGAAAACCAATGTTTATATAGGAACTTTTTTTTATTATTTTTGGCTCTATTTTCACCCCCTTAAATTTTGTACCAACTTTTCCAAACACCCCGTATAAGTACTGTTTTTTTTTTCTTTAAGATTTTAGATTTGATATTATAAAATGATATTGGATATATCTCAAAAACAATACATTAGACCATGCATTCTAAATTCTGTATTTAAAAATATGATGCCAAGCGTATTTGTGTTAAAAATCATTAAATATGATTTAAATTGGTTTTGATCCTCTTGGAATAATATCTTAAGGTGGCCATATCCCTGGCCGAGAAATGGTGAAATTTCTGGCATTTTTAGGTACTGAAATCTTCAAAAGTAAAACGTGTAGAACAAAAGTAAGCACAAAAATAAAATCCTTGATGTTTTGTTTATTCATTGTTACCATTTAAATTTACCCAAATAAAATAATAACTAAAAAAAGCGTTTGTAAAACATGCGTTTG